GGGGGGCTTTGAAGTGGAAATGAGCAGATGGTTCGTGGAGAGAAAAGTATTTTCATCCGCCGGCAGATCATGTCCGCTCTCTCCTCTGCGCTCCTCAATCTCCTAAAATATCCGACACACAGGCGGTCCCAGGCCGCCGATTCACCGAACACCAAACCGGCGCCGCCAGAAAGGAAACCCGCCGACAACGAGGTCCAGGATGGAAGGAGGTGACACCGGGCAACAGACCGCCAGTGAATGATGTGCCTCTAGAGGGGGCAGCTGTCCAGGGCCCAGGAGGTCAGGGGCCCCCATATAACATGCCCCTTAGGGCCCAGGGGCCCCCATATGGCATGCCCCTTAGGGCCCTGGAGGTCAGGGGCCCCCATATGACATGCCCCTTAGGGCCCTGGAGGTCAGGGGCCCCAATATGACATGCCCCTTACGGCCCTGTAGGTCAGGGGCCCCAATATTAAATGAATGACCTCTTACATTGCGGCTGTGTGCTCACATTATTCTGTCATCAGATATATTTCTTATTATTATTGATTACAGGTATATAACGCCGACAATTTACGCAGCGCTTTACATAGTGCACACTCGCATCAGTCCCCGCCCCCTCTAGGAGCTTACAATCTAAGGGCCCCATCTCACATGCATAGAGGGCCAACTTAGAGAGGAGCCAATTAACCTTCCAGCATGTCTTTGGTGTGTGTTATGTGATGTGTCATGTGACCCCTCCGGGTGTTTATTCCCTCTCACAGAGATCACATGACTCCCCCTGACAATGTCTTCATCCGCTTCTCTCTCCGGAACGTTCCCCAGCCAAGTCCCTTCCTGCCACTGGATTGAATCTTTGAAGATTGTTCCGTGTGAGAAGAATCATTTATAGAGAAACATTCAACTCCGTCAATCGGGGACATTTATCATCACACATCATGTCGATACGTGGTGATACAGGGCGATACGTGGTGATACATGGTGATACGTGGTGTTACGTGGCGATACAGGGCAATACGTGGCGATACGTGGTGATACATGGCGATACGTGGTGATACATGGCGATACGTGGTGATACATGGCGATACGTGGTGATACATGGTGATACACGGCGATACGTGGTGATACACGGCGATACATGGTGATACACAGGTCGATACATGGTGATACACAGTGATACGTGGTGATACACGGTGATACATGGTGATACACGGTGATACGTGGTGATACACGGTGATACACGGTGATACATGGTGATACACGGTGATACGTGGTGATACACGGCGATACGTGGTGATACACGGCGATACATGGTGATACGTGGTGATACACGGCGATACACGGTGATACGTGGCGATACACGGTGATACGTGGCGATACACGGTGATACATGGTGATACGTGGCGATACATGGTGATACGTGGTGATACACGGCGATACACGGTGATTCGTGGTGATACGTGGCGATACACGGTGATACGTGGCGATACACGGCGATACATGGTGATACGTGGTGATACACGGCGATACATGGTGATATGCGGTGTTACATGGTGGTGTTACATGGTGATACACGGCGTTACATGGTGATACACAGGTCGATACGTGGTGATACACAGTGATACGTGGTGATACACGGTGATACGTGGTGATACACGGTGATACACGGTGATACATGGTGATACACAGCGATACATGGTGATACACGGCGATACGTGGTGATACGTGGTGATACACGGCGATACATGGTGATACGTGGTGATACACGGCGATACACGGCGATACACGGTGATACACGGTGATACGTGGTGATACGTGGCGATACACGGTGATACGTGGCGATACACGGCGATACATGGTGATACGTGGTGATACACGGCGATACATGGTGATACGTGGCGATACACGGCGATACATGGTGATACGTGGTGATACACGGTGATACGTGGCGATACACGGCGATACATGGTGATACGTGGCGATACACGGTGATACGTGGCGATACACGGCGATACATGGTGATACGTGGTGATACACGGTGATACGTGGCGATACACGGCGATACATGGTGATACGTGGCGATACACGGTGATACGTGGCGATACACGGCGATACATGGTGATACGTGGTGATACACGGCGATACATGGTGATATGCGGCGTTACATGGTGGTGTTACATGGTGATACACGGCGTTACATATAATATATCTATTGAGTTGGTATTATCGGTGTTCTGGATTGGGCGCAGGCCGCGGTGGGATGTATAGAATTGATAGTAAAGCCGTGCACGGGGCTCTCTATACTTGTATGCTGATCACACTTCTTATTGAGCACTGAAGGGTTAATTGGAGATATTTGGATATCCCGCTAATATGGGATCACTATTTTGCAGCGGGGAGGAGGGGCCCGGGGGGCACAGGGCCCCGCTCAGGGGGCAGCCATAATCACAGTAATTATTGCATTCATCAGTCCGGCGCTCCAGCTTATTAGCGATCCGCCAGCTGCGCGCCGACCCCTCCGCTCACACTGCCGGATTAACCCTTCCGCTGCCATCCCTGCAACATGTGGAGCCCAGTGACGGGGCCCCCCGGCACTCCGGGTCCCGAGACATCATCGCAGTGCCGGGTCCGCGCTTTGGCATTCGGGGAGTTTAACCCTTTGTAGCCTAGAAACCAATTACTTCACAGCAAGCATAGGAACAGCTGAGCAAAGAGAACCTGTCAGTGTAGAGATAGAGGGGCCGCCAGTGACCTGGGAAGCGTCAGGAAGATGAAGGACGCAGTTTGTTCCGGTGTCAGTCCGAGAACTGGACTCTTATATGTCACCGAGTACGACAAGCTGTACGGTGTCCCGGAGGAG